GTATCTTCACAAATACAGCAGAAAAAGAAGCCTTCACATCCAATGTGGTATTTCGACAAGCCGGCCGAAGTCTGTTGTTGGCAGTGTCTAATCAAGCATACTCCCTTTGCTTCGATATGCTTCACCGCCTTGTAGAAGTTGCAGTACTTGGACATGTAGGTACATATAGTACATTTAAGTGTCCCAGTCCAGTTAAGGCACCAAAATGTCTCACTACCAAATTCCATCACTCGGTCATCCTCATACATCAGAAATTTCTTACAGTGTCCCCTTAATGCCTCAGTGTGTAGTATTTCAGCTTCCCAGACATGAAATAAGGGCTGTACATCAATCCCAGAAGCTGCTTAGATGTAAATAATAACAACTCACCCTTGTGGAATGTAATATTATGGGTCTGAATTCACATTTTATTGACATGAGAGTGTTCGATATCTTAAAATTATCTCCCCTGTTTACCCAAATACATTGTGTCTTTCTCTAACCCAGTAACCCATAAATTACTGCAGAGAAGCTCTGTTTTTAGCTGATATTGTCAAATACTGTTAATTGTAATTAAAAATATTCAGTTTAGGGCAGGGTAACCAATAAATTTCCAAAGTTATGTGGATTTTTTCACTTTGTTCCCTCTAAACTGGCTTATACATGACATTGGCAAGTGTAACAGCCTCAAAACAATACACAGTCAATAGTTTTGAATTTCTGGAAGTATTTCAAAGTCTTAGCTTGATGAATCAATAGATTCAAATGTAAGTTCTTATCATGCTGTGGTCTAAAAGTGATTTCATCTGTTGAAAGGGTCATTTGCCTTGATCGACTAACAGGCGGCAGGGTACTGTGGTCAGTGTTTCAGACTGCTAGGCATAATCCAACCCCTCACTTATTACATTCTGGCAAAGTTCATCATCCAGCCTTACATATGTCAGGATGTTAAAGCTGCTTAATGTTAAACCTGTCCAATTTCTGGCCTGAATTCAATGATTTTTGTCGTTCAAAATATAGTTTGGATTGATATGATCAAGGCAGTCCCAGTCATGCATGGAATTAACCCATGGCCCCCTTTTTTGTGAAATAAGAGTAAACTCCCATGGTATATGTATGATTTAAAAACTTTCTCTATTAATGCAGAAGTGCATTTTGTATAGCTTTGGTGAAATAGACTTGATATAACTCTTACAGCTCTGTCAGTGCAGCAAATCCATATATTCTTGTGCCATATAGATATGTTGGACAGGAAAAAGTATTGAAGCTTCATGCAGTTTTATATTTTTTCTGAGAAGTTGCATGTATATACAGTACATAAGTCACAGATTTGCCTAGGGCAAATGTTTCTAAATTTTCCTACAGGTTATACTACACTAAATGAGAATCGCTTGCTCACTGAGGCGAGATGCGTATGTAAACAAATGAAGAGATAAAGACATGTGACAGCTGTGATTGGATGAAATAGTGTAAGATGTTTATGTTTTTTTAAAAGCATATCCAACCAGTAATTAAAACTGACCACAATTTTAAGTATTCAGTGCTGTGATTTCCATCACCATGACTTATGCTTATTGTGTGTACAGATATTTTCCAGTAGGTGACATTTGGTGCGGATCTGGGGTTGATGTGTTCCGCTTCCTGTGCTCGCAAAACGAGCCGGACAAGTTGGCCAGATAGTGTGTTTTTATGGTAGTTTAAAGGCCAGAGTGTACCCATGTGCACATGGAATGGCTGTTGATAGCCTGGATTATTTAAAAAAAAAATATAAGGCTACTATAGAAGTCTATGGGAAAACATTTGGTGTTGTGTAACCTGTAAAGCTACAGTCGTCTCAAGAAAAAGTCGTGTCGTCTGTCTCCCCCTACCTTAGCTAAGATACATAGCGTTCACTGACATGAACGCTATGCAGCACCTCCATAGGCCGCAATGGTGGAAATCCTTTGTCGCACTTTCGCGCACTCGTTACGATTTTTGCGCACAAAAAACTTATATGAATTACTTCTTTGTACTTATACCTACACGTGCGCCCTATTTTCGTTATCAAAATATCCAAAAAATATATATTTACAAGCCATCAAACATCTCAGTTGATCGCTCACGTATGAGCGGGGCCATTTTGAATCACGTGACCTGTGACGCGAAGGGGATATCCCTCCCAAAAATAGTAACACACGTGTACCATACCTCGTTGCTTGTTGACAACACATTTTCATACATTTTAGGCAATTAAAACGATTGTATGGAGATTTTCGTTTCCAATCTAGACTGACTGACCACCCCTGCTTTTTCAACAGCTGTTTTCAAAGGATTTGCTGGTGAGTTTTCAATGCTTCATATATAATATAAGATTATTGCTGTCACCTTCACAGTTCCATGGGTGTCACTGTACTACTCATGAATATTTGCCTACAAAACACAGTTTACTAATAAGACTTATTAGAATTTAGGAATTAAATAATTAACGAGTTCACGAATCAATTATCTATAAATTTCATTTGTACCATATAACTTTAAATATTTCTCATTTCACATTTCTCCTATCTTCATCATCATATTTATTTCCTCCTTGGATAGGAGATTAGATGTTGATTACATGAAGGGACAGTGTTTTTAATCATGAATTATTAACAAATACTAAAACAAGGGGATACATCTTGAAAGCAATTGTTAAAAGGGGAAGGATCATTCAAATTACAGCACAAAGCCAAATGCAAATTATTAAAATGCGTCCGTCCGTGCACATTCGTCTTTTCCGGAGCAGAACTTCAAAACCGTTCACTATTTCTTCACCGAACTTGGCACATAGATAGATCTGGTGGTGTACTGGTGCCTTTTGGTAGTTTGGGATTTCTGTATAAAATATTTTTTTGTGTGTTTCCATGGCAACAATTTTCGACTTCGACTGAAATTGGTGGTAGTGTTCTTTTCAGGAGCAGAACTGTAAAACCGTTCAATATTTTTCACCACAAATTGGTATATATATATATCAATCAGAACCTTAAGTGGTGCCTTGGCTATTTGCAGATTTTTGACATTTTTATTTTTCTCGGTTCCATGGAAACGATTTGGACTTAGTCTCAAAAAGTAGGGGTGGGCTTCTTTTCCGGAGCAAAAATCGAAAACCTTTCATTATCTTTCAACAAATGTAGCAGATATATGAGACAGATCTTGAAGTGGTGCCTTTTGTTATTTCAAAGTTTTAGTAGTTATATTTTTCATGATTTCCATGGAACAATTTGGACTAAGTAAAAAAAATCAAGTTGGACTATCAGTAACTGTCAGATGATTTGTTCTTTCAAATTTCTGGAGCCCGGGGGGATTTGTCATCTTTTGATGACTCTTGTTTTGATAAGTTATAGCAGTGAGTTTCACAAAAAATAGACATGTCGTCAAATACTAAGCTGCAACTATATCTCTTCCATCCCTTTGTTTTGTCTTGAACTTGCCCTTGCAATGGGCACAGACAGTGTCATCCATGGTTTCTTCTCTCAACTTTCAACCTTGAATACCAGTAAATAAAGTGCATATCAATGTTAATTATTAATTATCACTTTAATTTAACATGAGTTTAAACTTATACCTTCAAAAGAATAAACTTCATGCACAATTTCATATCCTTATCATTGTTAATGTTCTCAATAAACATCTAATTGCCCCTTGAAAAGCAAACTTTCAAAACTAACACTTCATTGATAATTTGGAAAGCCTGCTATTTTTGCTGTCAAAAGATAAGAGGTACTGTAATGTTTGCAAATGAATTTTCTTCATTTGACCTAACAAATAAAAGCCTTCTGTCCAATGGTGTATGCACAGGAGTTTAAGTATGATATTTGGCATTTTGCTGTAATTTGAATGATCTCCTCATTCAACAATTGATTTATTGATGTATCCCCTTATTTTAGTATTTGTTTATAATTCATGATGACAAATAACACTTTTGGGGCACTTGGTTGCTAATATGGAAATGAAAAGATGATTTTGGCAAGGTTTGTAGCTGGTGCTTGAGACCTAATACAACATGGAAATATTTAAAATATTATTCAAGGTAGGAGAGTTGTAAACTGAGAAATATTTAAGGTTTTGGGGTATACATAAAATTTATAGATAATTAATTCGTGAACTCATTAATTATTTAAGTCCTAAATTCAATTAGTAAACTGTGTTTTGTAGGCAAATATTCATGAGTAGTACAGAGACACCCATGGAACTGTGAAGGTGACAGCAATAATCTTATATTATATATGAAGCATTGAAAACTCACCAGCAAATCCTTTGAAAACAGCTGTTGAAAAAGCAGGGGTGGTCAGTCAGTCTAGATTGGAAACGAAAATCTCCATACAATCGTTTTTATTGCCTAAAATGTATGAAAATGTGTTGTCAACAAGCAACGAGGTATGGTACACGTGTGTTACTATTTTTGGGAGGGATATCCCCTTCGCGTCACAGGTCACGTGATTCAAAATGGCCCCGCTCATATGTGAGCGATCGACTGAGATGTTTGATGGCTTGTAAATATATATTTTTGGATATTTTGATAACGAAAATAGGGCGCACGTGTAGGTATAAGTACAAAGAAGTAATTCATATAAGTTTTTCGTGCGCAAAAATCGTAACGAGTGCGCGAAAGTGCGACAAAGGATTTCCACCATTGCGGCCTATGGAGGTGCTGCATAGCGTTCATGTCAGTGAACGCTATGTATCTTAGCTACCCCTACCTACAACATAACAATTATGTACACGTTTGTGACTTCTGATTGTTCATTATTGTCGTGGGTGTATGATACGTGTATTACTTGCAGCCATGGGATAATAAAGTAAACAAATCGTAAGCCCGATCCGGGATTTACGCAATCCCGATATGCATGCTAAAGAAAATAACTACATATATATACCTTAAAATGGTTACACTGAAATCGATCATTCGTAAAGTAAAACGTTATGTCGTCGCCATCAAACATTCATCTATACTGTCGAATCAATACTAGGAGTACTTATTTTAAAAGAACAAATCCTTTTACCTTTAAATTTAAACTCTCGACTATCTCGACATTGTGGTTTCAAAATGGCGGTCGGTGTTCAAAACGAAAGTACGTGTAACCAGAGACGTGGTGTAACATGAGTGGACAGTCAGTTTCTTTACAATTTAGTCATCTCTGTATATTGGATTTAATCTTGTGCTACTTCAAGTGCATGTTGTTGTTATAAAGAGGAACACTGTTCATGGATAAATTCTATATTTAGCTGGTGATGATAACTGTCAGCATCTACACAGAAACGTCGTATATATTGCAATAAAGAACTCCTATATTTATAAAATAAATTGTTCCACTTCATCATATCAGCTTCTAAATACCACGAGCAGAAGTTGTTGTTATTATTGATCGGCTGCTTGTCAATACATACTATGCATAGATTCTTCTCCGCTCACAGACAACCAATCAATATTTACGGCAGAATTATGGAATATGCATTATAACAGCAGTTAGCTATTCAATTAGGAAATAAAGTTCGCTCTACCCCAATGTGTTTTGTAATAAAGTATAGTTTTGCCCTGAACTATTATAATTAAAGCACGAGGACGGTAGTCCGAGTGCTTTGACGTTATAATAGTTCAGGACAAAACTATACTTTATTACAAAACACATTGGGGTAGAGCGAACTTTACATCTTTTCTATGATGCCAAATTTAATACTTTCTAAGGATAATTACGATTAATTTAAGGCAGACAACAAATGACGGTGTCGGTGACCTAAATTAAGAATCCTCGCACAGGGCTAACTGGTGCGCTGTTCTCTTGATGTGTCTGCCCCCCTACGTTAAGACGAACGTTACCAGAAAAAACAAATGATAACAGTTTGATGACGGTTTACGTTCGGATTAAATATCTTCTCTGAATTATTTTAATTACATCTGTCATTAACGTAAACCATATGGGGCAATATGAACGTTGCATTTCTACTACCAACGTAAGTTTAGATCTAGGGCTTCCACGGGTACTCGAGTACTCGAGTCGGGTCTAGCTGGACTCGAGTCCACTTTCAAGGACTCGAGGACTCGAAAAGGGAAGATAACTCGGATTATTTGACGTTGACAGACTGTCTGCCATGTGCTTAGCATGAGCGGCCGTTAACGTCTAATATTAAGATAAGATATAACTTTATTATCCCGGAGGAAATTCTTATACATCCAAACTGTCTCAAAATGAATATATGCACAGTTCACAAAAATATACACAATGATTACATGCTCAAAACGAATGCTATCTACAAATAAAACTGACATGATATAATTCAATTAACCACATAGGTAAAGAGGCTGAATAATTCTAGTTCTAATCACATGATGGTGATTCAAAATATTTGTTGCATTCGCGAATACATGATGGTATGAAAGACTGTCTAGCTCTGTTTGTTTTGAGGGAAGGTAATCGTCAGCAGCGTCCAGAAGGAAGTAGTTCAAAATGGTGAGATCAAATATATCAACTATCAAATCTAATTTTAGCTCCCTTTTTGACAATCTGGCGCTCACAGATAAAGGGAGTATACTCGAAAGACACTCCAGAAATTTTGCAAGCAGTATTAACAATTTTGAAAAGTTTGTTTTTTGTTGAGATGAGACAGATCCCCATACCAACATAGAAAATTGTAGGTCAACACACTTTGAATAAAGGTTTGATAAAAAAAACTGGTATTTCGGTTTTGTCAATGCCTTGACGATAATAATGTTCAGAATCAGAAATTAGGCCAGTAGCAGTGGCGTCATCTGCAAATTTCACTGTAAACAAGTCATATATTGACAAGTAACAGTCATTGGTATACAAAACGAAGAGTACGGATGAAGGAACACAGCCATGTGGATCTCCAGTAGAGGTTGAGAGCAAAGAAGATTGATAGCCACTGACACTGACATACGGAGTTCTATGTACCCTGAATTCTTTAACCTATCTGATAATGTTTTTATTCACACCTAGATTAAATAGTTTACTCCTCACACGGTGTGGCTGTATGGTATTAGTTGCTACAAGTCTGCAGATGAGAGTAAATATTATACATCGTTTGAGTTTTCACTTTTTTAAAATGATTTGGTAACTATCTTGACAATTGATAGACATGGAGAAAGATAAAAAAATGGGCGTATCTTGATCTGGATAGTGAAAAGAGCAAAATAACCAAATACCGCCTGTGCGGTATCTCACTGCGGTTTGCAGGCAGTACAAGAAGTACGATGAAAAAAAAACGTTTGTCAAGTAAACATCCAAATACTAATTCTGACCAATAGGAAATGTTAGTCACATGACGATATGAAGTCGGAAAGAAGTAAGTGTTCACTTGTGTGATCGGAACACTTGTCATGCCGGTTACGCTATCATTTGCTTGAAAGGTATGAATTTCGGGTCCGAGTCGAGTCTCACCACTCGAGTACTCGAGTCCAAAAAAAAATGGACTCGTTGAAGCCCTATTTAGATCAGTACATCCAGATGAAGCTGAGTAGTCAAGCGACATTCCACGATTGCATTGTGGGAATGTAAACATTGCGAACGTTACCATGTCGCTGAAAACTTGTGAGTCGAATTGACACATTTTAACCGTCGTAAAACATAAACGTAATGTTTCCACCAGTGATGTTAGCTGCGTGAAGCAACTGCAAACCAAGAAACGGGATGCAACGGAGTAGTTTACTGTAGGAGGCCGTACGAGGCGATGACAACTGACATGCATCGTGACGTCACTTACATTGTGACGTAATGTAAAATAATTCGATTACGAGGGGGCACACTAGAATGGCTCGGTGACGGGAAAACGTCATTCAATTGTTACGTCATCAAAAAACTATACCTTTATTGTCTCATAATGTATTTTTTTTTCGATTGTTCTAACCCCTAGGCATCTTAGAAACGTTATTAACAACACCATGATTTTGCTGGAATATTGCTAAAGGCGGGTTGATTGACTAAAACCAGGGCCGGGCTGGGTCGGACCAGCGGGTAATACTAAAATGGATTCAGAATATTAAAATGAAACGTATGCATCGGCCTAGGTGCATACGCATACATACCGCGTTCCTTCGTAGAATAGCCCCTGTTTTGATGCTACGTGTTTTCCGTGACATGTCTGTGTGAGAGGTCTTTAACTGCCCTCAGCGTGTGCCGTCCTGGGCAGGCGGTGTCAGTGTTTAACCCCTCTTCTGTAACTTATTGGGGCTCCCTAATTTACCTTTATTTGTTGGTTTGGAAGCAGCAGATAATGTATATTCTAAATAGAAGGGAATATTTGAGAATGTCAATGAAACTGTCGTGTTTTTATGTAGGTTAAATCTCTTCCAACTCTGTTAATGTTACTAGAATTACAAATGACAATCAATGTGTTTTCATAGAACTGACTGTCTGAGTTTAGTTTTACGCCGCTTTTAGCAATATTCCAGCAATATCACGGCGGGGCACACCAGAAATGGGCTGTTGTCATAGAAATATCTATTGCGATCACATTGTTTCACCATAAAACTAATGTGCCTGGATAGACACAATTTGAGCTTTTTCTTAAAATAATACTCTAACAAATATTTACGCATGTTTCATTTAATGTGTTGAAGGAAGAATATAAGGAGTAACACTGTAAAATGTCACCATAAGTAATGACAATACCGCCATGAAAGTGAAAACTTATGGAAACACTCAGTACCTCCAACCCGTCCACGTTTGTAAGTATTGTCCCAGTGAGTGAGTGAGTGAGTTTAGTTTTACGCCGCACTCAGCAATATCCCAGCTATATGGCAGCGGTCTGTAAATATTCGAGCCTGAACCAGACAATCCAGTGATCAACAGCATGAGCATCGACCTGCGCAATTGGGAACCGATGACCTAAGTGGGCAAGACGACTGAGCCCGGCCCCGCTCCCCATATTTTATATCTTTCTAAAAACAATTTTTAAAAGTTATTTAAGCAAAGTGATGGCCTCTTTCCTGTATACTCGACATAGTCTCTATCTACTAAGTGATCGATCCGCCTTTGCCGGGCCTAGGCTGCCAAAAGCACGGCTGTTTCCTAAATTGTTTTTAAACCCATAGAAGAGTTTATCTCTCTAAATACCACTTTGTAAAGTTACTATACATCACACATAAAGATAACTGATCCGTGAAAGTGAAGACCTTTTTCCGTCTACGCCCCCAACATAGCCACGATCAAAAGTAGTTGGTCTCTTTTGGACGGCTGTCAAAATGTACTGACACGCCACATCCTGAACCATGTTTAAATCCGTAGAATAGCCTAGTAATTTAACCAAACACGTTGTTCAAGGTGAAAACTTCTTCACTATCTGTCATGCTCAGTTCAGCGTCCGCTCGTCACGCTGAAGACCCGGGTTCGATTCCCCACATGGGTACACTGTTAATTACCCACTGTTAATATCTTGGCCATGGAAATATTTCGATGGCGTTGTTCTGGAGATGGACGAAGAAAACCCGAGAATGGTGAGGTCAAGCGTTTGTCATCGAGGAATATTGGACGAGTAGCAAGGGGATGGTGAGGTGAGGTGAAATTGGGTTTTACGTCGTGCTTGAGAATATTTCGCTCATATGACGACGTGCATGCGTGTGTATGTGTATGTGCGGCTGCTTGTACTAGCCCAGACTTAAGCTGGTTTTATAGTGCTAGCCCACTGAGATACCATGACGCAGTGAAGCATGAATACCCCACTCACACATTATACTGACTCCGAGCCGACCAGTCCTTGTTGTACCCATTAATGCCGAGCGCCAGGCAGGGACCAACGAGTACCATATTTTAACGTCTTTTGGTATGACGCGGTCGGGGATCGAACCCGCGACCTTCCGCTCTCCGGGCGGACGCTCTAACCACTACACCACGGAGGCGGTCAGCAAGGGGATGGTAATCAAGGTGTGGCACAACTAAACTTCAGTATCGTCTTCATTCGTGATCAACTCCCCGGCCGCGTCATACCAAAATACAGTACTCGTTGGTCCCTGCCTGGCGCTTGGCATTACTGGGTACAAGGACTGGTCGGTGTCAGTATAATGTGTCTGAGCGGGGTATTCATGTTTAACTGCGGCATGGTATCTCAGTGGGCTAGCACTATAAAACCAGCTAAAGCCTGGGCTAG